GACAAACTTATATTTTGCACAGATCATGTTGGCTAAGTAGCGCCATATGAGATGATAAGTCTGATTTTGAAGTAGGAAGTTCATTCAGCCAAAAGGAATGATGGATTTCATTCTACATTGTGCGAATGAATTTGAACATTCGCATTATGCAATATGGTGTCCTCCGTATAGTAAAATGGTCATAGCTTTGCAATTCAGGGTGGTTTGTACTTATATTATTCATAAGGCTTCATTGTGAGTTCTTTTGAGTCCATTATTATAATATGCATATCTACAAGTACCCGCGAGAGTTTCTGATGTTGACAATCTGTCCACTAAGACGTTCTCGACTTGCTGATTGTCCATTCCTTGGTTTCACCTGCATCAATCACTTTTCAACTATTACCTATTTGACAAGCATAACATGGATTTCGAATAATACAAATCTTCGATTTCATGCATATGCTGAGACTGGGTTTGGAGCTGATAACTTGATATCCGGCTTTTAATTAATTATAGAGATCCTGAGCAGATAAAAAATCTATACTATGTAGAGAAATTTCATACTTGCAAAATTCCTGAATTCCGTGAGAAGTTCTCGAAATGGCCACTGGGTCTTTTATAGGTGACTGTTAAATTAGATAGTATTGATTTTGCCGGCTAATTAAATATATTTTTAAAGAATATGGGTTAAATATAAACTAGTGGGTTTCTCACAAAGGAAAGTGAACAGCTGCATTATAAATATTTTTAAACCTCTTTAATTGTTTCATCATGCACTAAAAGTTTGATGTGGGATAAGTAACTTCTACGAGTGGCTCAAAAAAAGGGGCCGTGGTTACCACAACATACTTTGTCATAGTGCAAGTCGTGTGCTGAACAAAGGTCAGTACTCGTCGAGCGTGACCTCAGGTTGTCTGTATTTCTTCAGCCCCTCACTAATGGCATGTAGTAGATGCTCTACGACCATCAAATAATTCAAATTAAGTAGGTCTGCTTCTAGTGCAGCGTATCCTAGCACTCTGTTTCACTTCTCTACATGGGCAATAAAAAATGTGCTTGCTCTTACACGCGTACAATACGAGCCGCAATTCTATCAGCGACGGTATCAGCCCACACAAATATGGGTACAATAATGAGGAATATGTATATTTCTTGTTCCTGCACAGCAAAACATGATTTTTTTGTTTTGTTTTCGCGTTCCTTTGGTAGCGGCGTGTAAGCCCATATCTGCGTGGCTAGATGTAGCCACTTGCCCGAGAATGTACGGTGGTATAAATACACAGCAATGAGTAGCTTTGTCTGTGTAAGATTGTACAAAGGTGTGTGAAGCATGCAGAACGACACCCGCATCGTGCAGTACAATAGCTTATGACAACGATCATGTATCCTTGTAAGCACACCACAGAATTGAGGTATATCAAAACTACTTCCGGCTGCCAGCCAGTGCCATCTACACTCTTCTCGTCATAGGTAATAAATACGTATGCACACACACACACGCACTTATCACTCTCAAACACACTCACACAACTCGTGTCCATGTGTGTTCGAATTGTGCTACGAATGGTCGTGTATTCAACGGGTAGACGTACTAAAATCGAGTCCGTCGAACAATAAAGCTTATTCATTGCATTTCAAAGGGGTTTGCTCGGGAATCCACAACTCATGAGTGTACTTACAAGTATCAAACAATACGGAGTTATTTCTCTCATACTTTTATATGCGACGGTGTTTGCATTTCGGTTGAGTATTGTCTGGTGATGGCTCGAACTTTATCGGGTCTTTACTTAATACCATAGTACAATTGGTCAATTACAGAGTGTGGTAGAACATCACGCCTATACAGTACTCTACTTGGGCAGTGGAATTCGCACTCGCTCTTACAATCCTAAGTCACCTACCATTCTAACTGATTCGCACGAACTCTTCACAAGTTGACTGATCTCACATAAATGACTTCGCAAGAGTTAGCTGGCAAACGACCGCCCCCCATACGGATCTTCTCGCGTACTTGGGCTCCACCATAACTGCAATGATCGAAATTTAGTATATCTAGTTTATTTATATGTGAGACGGACCTATTTTATGTCTCATCCAGCTCCCTTACGCTGCGCGTGTAATTCTGGCCATAGTCCCATACGACCTCTCTGCGGCGAGTTTTTCAGCAGGCGCTGCACTCGTTCGTTAAGCCTAAAGTACTGTTTGTCCGTATCCCCCGTCTCAAGTAGTTTGAGCGGGCGCTTGTGTCTCCTGCAAGACATTGCTCTTCGAGTGCCTGACAATGCGCCTGATAACCCACATGGCCATAACAGCATGTGATATGTGTGCTCTATA